GGTACATACATCAATTTGAACAAGATCAGTAAACAGAACTTAAAACGGGTTAAACTAAGTGGTTTATATTAGGTACATACATCAATTTGAACAAGATCAGTAAACAGAACTTAAAACGGGTTAAACTAAGTGGTTTATATTAGGTACATACATCAATTTGAACAAGATCAGTAAACGTTTCTCTATTATCTGTACTTGACTTTTAGCTCACCACTAATAATGCTCTTTCCATCACGCATGAATTCTATAGAGTGACATGTCATGTTTGGAACAGTGACCCGAAGCAGTTCCTGGCCCGACGAAATATTCCATATTCGAATGTGTTCTTTGGAACATGTGGCAAACAGTTGGGAACAGTCACTGAAACAAATCAAAACTCTAAAAGCTACTTCCTGCATATAAACAGATAAGTTAAAATACCAGTGGAGAGTAAAAAAAACACAGAATTAAAAACGGTTGTTAAATATCAAATTCAATGAAACTTTATCTGTTTTACGAGGTTCCTTTGTATAAAAAAAGTTTTTATTTTGACCATTTGTTTACTTAAAATGAATCTAACTCTGAACTTACTGAGGAAAGGTAACATCCAGAACAGGAAAGCTGTGACAGGTATAAAGAAGATGACATGAAAATTCCATCAGATTTATGCGATATACTTGACATGCGCTTGTTCCGATAAAAAGCTGTTGGGAAAATATGAATATGATGTAATATCATAAAATCTTCACCTACTCTTATTATTCAATACCTAGCATTTTTATAATAAAATTTGTCAGTATAGTTATATGTTCATCAGGATACAAGTTTAAAAATACCTTACTGAGCTGATTAGAAGATCCCCAAAAACAAGAATAGTCCGATATATATCCACATATATTTATGTTTGACACAAAAATTGTTAAAGTCTGAAATAGTTAAGGAGCTAATGTACTGAAAAAAAGTAGTGTGTTCTTAATGTTTTTTTCATATTTTTAGCACAGATCATACAGAACTTTTTACTCCAAGTTAATGTATGACTGAGTTATACCAGCTTCCACTCATCATCGGTAACCCTAAATAGTCATACCAACTCTGAGGAATTGTACTCCTCATCAGTGACCCTGTACAAGTTAGACTAATTGATAAACCTGAAGAATCACACCAGTTTCAGGGAATTGTTAGCCCTCAACAGTAAGTGTGGACAAGTTTCAGAAAATTCCATACTTCCCTCAACAGAAACCCTAGAACATGACCAGGCCTTTTATATTGGAGTATAATACACACCAAAAGAACATTTAAGGGATCTTACACTTTGTATATTGATTGTATAATTCATTCATGCTTTATTTGGTAAAGTATGATTGGAACAATTGATCCAACCTCTCTAAAAATGAGAATTGAAGATGACAGCAAGCTTATAAGTGGAAGTCATGTAGACAAGATGACAGCAAGTTTATTGGTGGAAGTCATGTAATTAAAAGACAAGATGACAGCAAGTTTATCGGTGGAAGTCATGTAAGTAAAAGACAAGATGACAAAAAGCCTATAAGTGGAAGTCATGTAATTAAAAGACAAGATGACAGCAAGTTTATCTGTAAAAGTCATGTAAGTAAAAGACAAGATGACAACAAGCCTATCAGTGGAAGTCATGTAATTAAAAGACAAGATGACAGCAAGTTTATCGGTGGAAGTCATGTAAGTAAAAGACAAGATGACAGCAAGTTTATCGGTGAAAGTCATGTAAGTAAAAGACAAGATGACAGCAAGTTTATCGGTGGAAGTCATGTAAGTAAAAGACAAGATGACAGCAAGTTTATCGGTGGAAGTCATGTAAGT